GCTTGGGAGTGAGGGGCAGACAGACAGACATACAGAGAGAGGCAGACAGGCAGTTGGGTCAGGTCACAGGTCAGGCAGCAGAGCCATGGGTGGGGGGGCATGGTTCCCTGTCACTTCAGTGCAGCCCCCCCCCAAGGGACGCATGGGGGACACATGCCCCCTGGATTTGTGTGCATGGTAGAGGCAGGCTGCCCACTGCAGGCTTGGGCTCTGCACCCCACTGCCTTTGCCCCAGGAGCTGTGTGACGCCACCCAGCGGGCAGGGGATAAGCAGCGCAGCCAGTGTCTGGCTCCAAGGTCAAAGGCAGCAGGGCGCAGAACCACAGCCCACAGCAATCTGCACACAGATTGGGGGAGCACGTGCCCCCCATGCCTTCCCCAAGGGTGCATTCAGTGGCAGGGAGCTGTGTCCCCCACCCCTATGCTTCTGGATGAGCTGCCTGCTGCTGTGACATGCAACCCACCCTTCCCCACTCCCTCCCTCACCATGGGGGCCTCGATCTGCGCCCCCTGCCCTGTCACTTCCCTCTCTCTCCCGCCCCTTCCCATTCACAGACTTACTAGCCCAGCGCATGGTACACGCTTCAGAAGAAAAATCCCAAGGTCTGAAGGTTCTATCCCGAGATTGTGAACCAGAGTTAATTTGACTTGGAAATTGCAAGTCTGCAGTTTGTTTCGTGAGAGTTGGCATTGCTGTAACTATATGAAAGATGCATAAGCTTTTGTGAGCCCAAGCTCACTTCATCAAGTGCTGTAAAAGGATGTGTACAGAGCAATCTATCAAATCTCTTTCTTTGATGGACTGTTCTGTGCATCCCCTTTCACAGCACCTGATGAAGTGAGCTCCTGAATGGTATTGTTGTTCTAGTACTAGTCACAAGGCCCAAGATAAGATCTGGACTTTGTAGGACATTAGAGGACTATGTCTACTCAGAGCCTTGAGTCAAATTCTGCTGCTATTTTTACCACAGTAATGTCTGGAGTAAACTCTAGACTTCTGGGTTGCATCCGCACAAGTGCGCATGTTTAGAGGAATGCATTTCCCATGGAACAAATAGCAGCAGCAGCACTGCTGTTGCTGCTGTTTGTCTGCAGACATGCCTCTGCATACTCAAAGGAACCCAGGTAGGGTAGGGGAAGCTGGGGCCGGCACCTGTGCTGGCCCCAGCAGCCTTACCTGGGGTTTTGGGGGATCTCCCAGGGCAGCAGTGGCCCGGAGCCAGCTGCTCCGGGCCTGGCCCACAGCTACGGTGTGGCTCTGGCTGGCCAGGCTCTGGTTTCTGGTGGGGCATGCTGCTGCTGCATATGCCACTCCACTTTTTTAGCAGCATTTTTTTGACACCAGGATCTCCCAGTGTCAAAAAAAGCAGTGCAGCTCACGGCTTTGAGATGCTTCAAATTGCACGTGTATACTTGTGGGGATGCGCCTCTGGAGTTTATTCAAGCATTTTTTTTTTAATGGGAATTTTTCATCCTCCAATCCAAATCTGGCAAATCAATTCCAAATCTATGAGTCAGTCAAGAACCTTAAGTGGCACTACTACCAGCAAATATCCTCCACCCCACCTGGGGCTTCAGGTGTTTCCAGATCCTTTGGCAGGCATCCTGGAGTTTATTCAAGCATATGCTAGTACAGGGGTCAGCAGTCTTCTACTAACGTGGGCCGCAGCTTGTGATCTACCTGGTGCTGCAGGCCTCTGGCGAGAGCAGCCACTCCATCAAGGTGAGCAGAGGCTGCCGTGAGGGAGGGCAACCCTGCAGGCAGGCTGGGGCAGTGGACCGGGAGGCAATTTTTATGCTATTAGCAAAATGCAGACTGAATTAAACAGCTGGGGAATTGGGTGACACTTAATAAAAGACCCTGCATTTGTATGAAGCAGAATTAGGCTTTGTCTCTCTAGACTGTAAGCTGTTCAAGATAGGAACTAATCTTCATAGGTAAATGCTGTACAATGCTTTTGGGTTTTGCACAAATACAAGCCATTCCAAGGGACAAATTTTGGTGGCTCAGCATTTTGGGAGAAGCACACTGGTAGTTTGTAAATTCTGTAGCCTGACTTATTGTTAAATTAGGAAAATGATACTGAAGCAATGTATACTGAAAGTGTTTTTAAATTAGTAGAAGAGTATTTCCAACTGTCTGTTTTTCCTCTCCACAGGGACTTATGTGCAGAGAAGCAAACAGTAGGTGCACTTCTGACTAAGTATGCTCGTTCTTCCATGCAGAATGGTGTCAAAGTTTATAATTCTAGAAGACCTATCTCCTAGCAGGAAATAACTTTCTTAAAGGATTAATAATACCGTATAGAACAACTACCACTTTTGCTCCGGACCCGAGTTATTTGTAATTATTGTAGCAATTTCAGTTTGTCATTGTTTTGAAAAGACATTTCAACTAAACTAAGGCTTGTACTAAAACTAACCGCGTGGATTTTCTGAAGCTTTAAATCTTTGCAGAAAGAGTTACACTTCTCTCTCACCAGAAGTGACAAGAAATTAGTGGCTGTCACCTAACCAAGAAATGTGTTGATATCAAATGGAAATGTGTTTTGTATTTTAAATTCAAAGAGCAAAATAAATCTAACTGGTCTTTTGCAAAATATTGGCACTTATCTTTTTTTTTTTACCCCTGAACAACTTACATATTGCTAGAGTCCATGTAAAACAACTAGAGAAGAAACAAGCCATTTCCTCCAAATTAACTGATAAAATTAGGTTGTTTTGTTGTTTGTTTGGGGTTTTTTAACAGTCTGCTATCTTTACACAGGACAAATATGTACTACTTCACTAAGTTTTACTACTTCTGCTACTTTAAACTACTTACTTCAGAAGAGACATTACTTGATTCATTGACTTCTCTCCAAGCGAGATCTTATTAAAGGTATAAAATTTGCTAATAGTCTTGGGGTCATCTCTAAGCAAGTATGACAATATGGGAAAAGCCACAGAGAAAATCTATGCAAGAGCTAGGATTGGAATATAGGTCTTGCTGGTCTTGCTCCCAGGTTTAGTTCAGTAGGTAACAAATCCTCTTGTGGTCAGAGATCATCCAGTTTGGCCAAAAGAAATGCTTACCTCTGCTTCAGGCAGCTGGCTGATAAACCTTGAATAAACCTGAGTCCATAGTTTTCAGGGATTCCAAAGCTAGCCCTGGACAATTGCAGGAGGACTGACTAGCTGATCATCTGAGGAGCTTTCTGCCCTCATTGGCTGCCATCCCATTTGATCGTACATTGGCTTGTATGGGTTTAAATAAACTACATATTTCAAGGCCAGAAATAATGCTTTGTTTCTAGTTACCAGCTCAAAATTTTTCTTTACATCGCTATGTGAACCCCAAGGTTTATATTCTTTGGAGGACTTTGTTCTCTTTAATTTAGTGAAAGGCTTCATATTTTTTAAGTTCAGGGAATATTTTATTGTTTCCATATTCTGTTCTTTATTTTTAAGTTCTCAGGTATCTAGTTGCTATTCATCATACTTGTATTCTTCTGACTGCAATGCTGATCCTACTGCTAGATCCCCATGCCCTCCTGCTATACCTATCATACACCTATTTAGTCAGTGCTGGGGATGGGATGGGATTTAGTTGCCAAGAGTTACACTGATAATTAGTTTTTAAAGTGATGCCACTCAGATTCCATTTTGTCAAGTATCCTCCTTTTCCATATAGTCTCGGGTTTAAGTTTAGGATCAAATCCAAAAAAACCCTTTATTGGAAAGTTCATTAACTTTTCTATATAATATATTATATATAATTTTGCGTAATTTGTTGCATTTTTGTTGTCTCATTAGTCCTGTAGTCCATTTGAACTAAATGTACATCTCTTCAATTCCACAGCTGAGTTAATGTTTTTAACTAGTTAAAAACGGTTTGGAGGACTGTGAAATAGGAGCTACATTACCAGGAGTAGATAACAGACTGCAGAATTTCAGAGGAAAGGATAGTATGATTAGTAGAACCATTAAAAGGAGAGAGGTTCATTAACACTTATGGAATGAAGAGTTTAGAAGGAATCGGATCATAATGAGCCATGAAGTCAACTAACTTGTAACTAGTATAGCCACCTTTTTCCTCAATTGTGGGATTATGGGTTTTTGAAAATCTGACTTAAATATTCTTGAACAGCTCCCAATGACCCTTTATATTTCTGTGTTCAAATTCTTTCTCCCAGTTGATTTGGCTCATAATTATTTTCATTTTTGTTTGTGGGCCTCTTTTTAAAGTATCATATTCAGTTATATGACATCTAACACATCACGTAACCTGCCTTTAACTGACGATTTGCATTCCTTCAAACTTTTCCTTCCCTTCCCACCCCGCCCATCTCTACACTTTGTCCTCCAAACTTCTACTTATTCGCATCTACACAGACTCCTGCTTACTCTAGCTTCTTTTTTACCTTGGAGAACTCGGAATAGCAGCAGAGTCTCCCAATGCCTGAGGAGGAGTGTTTGTGCTTGGAAGCTTGCAGAGAGCTTTTTTCCAACCATTTAGTTGGTCTAATAAAAGATATCACATCTACCCAAAGAACCATGCCTGCATATGTCCTTAGAGCAACACGACAGCAACCCGCAACCCTGCATATTCAGATATATGTGGGTATCTCCAAATAACATTTGGAGGATACAGCTGGGCAGACTTTCAAAGAGCTATATAGTCTGTCCTATATAGTCCATAAACTTATATATATATAAAAAACTTTTGTTATACCCTGACAAATCTACTGAGTACATGTGAACTGAAATGTTTGGAGGCTTACCTGGCTGAATGTGGACGAATTTTCTTGAGGATAACAAAAGACACTTGCCTGGCAGTAAGACACTCCCTCTCTGTTCCAATATAAAACAGAAATTGATATGCATTGTCTAGATTTGTGGAAGTTGATCTTAATGACAGTGGGCTGAAACCTCATACTGATGGCTAACCCCCTCTTTATTAAAGATTTGTGAGATGTTTGGATACATTGGTAATGGGAGCAAATACAGTACAATAAACCAGAACTCAATAAATTCAGTTGCTGCATCCACAAAAATACCTCCATAAAAATGCATGTTCTGTTTACAGTTTTCACATGCTCTAGGTTAAAAAAAATCTCTAACATCACATCATAACAGTGGTTGGCAACCTTTTTTGGCTATGGGCCAGAATGACTTGCCTTGGTTCAGACATATGGGTAGCCAGTGCTTTTTCCTACAGAGCACCTGCAGCTGAAGCCCCTCACTGCCGAATGCTGCTGAAACCCCACATCTATTATTTGGATCCAGAGGCTCCACAGGCCAGGTCTGGCCTGTAAGCTGTAGGTTTCCAAACCCTGCATTATACCTGTAACAAAGAGCTGTTTAACAGGGCACTGTACATACCCAGTACATAGTATTTAACCATCCAGAACACAGCAGAAACATCAGTCACTGCAGAAATCAACTGAACCAATAGATCCAAAAATATTTAATGTGTGTCAGTGAGATGTTACTGCTACATATTCTGCAAAACATATAAATGCATCAAAGTTAATTTAGCTAAGAACTTACTAGGTTCAGTAAGTGTTTCAGAGCTTTTAAAAAGTGAGCTTCCCTTCAGGGAAACGATGCCTCTTTCCACCATAATATGTACTATGAAAAGTCAAAGCATCTTATCTTGTGCATCTTCTACCCACATTGGTAAATGCTGCAGGTCTTCTTTATACGATATTTCCTTGCCTTTTCATACACACTTTACTGAGCATTGAAAAAATGTCTTGATGTCTGAATTGACATTAACATGAATGAGCTAGTTTCTGACTCTCAAAGCTCTCTGCAGACTTGGGTTGGTATCTTTTCATTGGTCATATCAAGAGAATTTTCAGAAACCTAAGTAAGCCTCTGAGAACTATGGACTTTTTAAAAAGAGAGAGAGCTAGGACCTTGCAGAATAATTCAGGTGTTTACACTTTTTCACTTGCATCTCACCTTGTCTAGACTCCTTTAGAAAAGGCTGGACTCAAAAATAAGATGCCATTCACAGTCAGTAGTGGCAGCAGTTCCTTGGCATGAGGATGACAGTCTTCCAATAAACATGGAAGCCTTTAAGTCCAGACATGACCAAGGAGGCCAATCTGAATGTTCGGCTGCAGCCATGGCCAATAGTTCTGGGAGGAAGTAGGTCTGGTGATGTCAGATTACAGCTCTTTCCCTTTGTCTCTCTTGTCTGTCTGCCTCCATAGTGAAGCAAGCTTGATCAAAATGATCTGTCTTGTCTTGGATCACAGTGCCATTGAGAGTGATTAGGTGCTTGGATCTCCCAAGTATTCAGATCGCCCTTCAGGATGTACTGGAATCTCTTCTTTTGCTCAGATAGCTGAGAATCCATCATAGAACCAGGAGGGGCACAAGCTGAAGGCATAGCAGCCTGGGTACAAGGTTGAGCCTGAACACTTTCTCTTCCAGGTCAGGGGTATTTATAGGAAGGGGTGAAGGGTCAGCTGACCCTGGCTAGCCATTCTAGCTGCAGGGAGTGGGCAGGTGGCTAGGTCCTAGCAAGTTCTGACCATCCGTGTCCACCCCAGTGCTCAGCTGAGGAGGTGGCAGACTGGGGTGAGTGGCTGTGCTGGGCAGGTCTAAGTCCAAGGCCACAGCCTGATACCTGTGTTATTTCAGTTTTGGAGTTTCTTTAATTGTCCACCAGTGTCTTTTTTTCTTATGAAGCATCCCTTTACTTTATTCATTCAGTCATGAATACAATCACTAACAATCCCAGAAAGATGCATAGAGTATTTATAAAAAGAAGTGCCATAGCCTTTATTATTCCATGTGTCCATAGTATCTCTCACATCTCTAAAAGTAATTAGAATATTCCATGGTTCCCAGATATTGTCTCTCTCTCAAGTGCCATAAAAGAAGAATATTGACAGGTGGACTTCTCAGCTAAAAATTAAGGGGATCATAGTTCCAAAATCAGATGCAGGCTTCTTGTGACAACTTGTCAAAAGATGGCAAAATATTCTTTCAATAGGGGGAGTGTCTGCTTTCCCTCTACAGTGGATGGACATTTTTTTTGGAGTGGGCAATTTTTTCTAGCAACATAATATTTTAAATGAGTTAACATTCTTCCAGTGTTTCATGATTGCCATTTTTCATTTTGATCAAAAGAACAGCTTTAAGAAACTGTCATCTCTTAACTTCAGACACTGAACCCTTATTCAATGGATTGCTTGTTCCACGTGAACATAGAGCACTCCTTGTCCTACACAGTGATATGTTTTTGAACCAACATAGGTAAGAAAGCTGAGAAGTATGGGTAGTTATGTGGGATACTAGGATAATCCCAGACACTCTTGAATCACACGTCCAGTTTCATATGACTCTCCATCTACAAAGTGTATTGTTAATCCTTTGTCCATCAGTTGCCTTATTTGCCTTATTTGCACAAGCTATTAGACAGCCTGCTATTGTGGATGATATTGTAATAGAAACATAGGGGTGTTGAAGACCTCCTGAGTTTCTGATTCCTCTCCTCTTCTGTCCCGGGTAATTAAATACAACAGGTGATCCCTTTTATAAACTTATCAAGCATCATAAAGCTAGTTAGGTGGTTTGCCCCAGCTGCTACAGTTCAAAAACT